TTCTTTTCAATTACATTACCTTATTTGCCATTGGTAGTCATCTAAAGTTTTCCTGCTCAGTTGGCTTGCTTCCAAACTGCTTTCTATTATTTTGGTAGCATTCATTAATGCTTTAAGCTGTAATAAAAATCCCATACATTGTTTTGAAAAAGTTAAAAACTTTTCTGCTGATTAGTGATAAGTTCCTACTGCATTCGGCAAAACTAATAAAAATATTAATGTATTATGCTGATGAAATACCAAACATAATCATACCTAAAAGGTACAAAGAAATCCATTAAAGATGAAATGGCAGCTTTACCTTTATTTTTTCTGATTTTTGTACTGTTAATTCAGACCCTTTTGATCAGTTTTTGTATTCGATTTTCAGTGCTACAGAAAACTATAAAATATAGATTATTTATCAGAGAACCCAAAATGTCATATTCAGGTCTTTCTCAAAGATGTGTATTTTGGCAACTTTGTTTTAAAAAACATATCAACAGGGAGATCAAAAGGTTTAGGAGTAGTAAACACCATTCTTATCCTGGTATGATTGAGAAGCAACTACATGAGTGGAAATTTGAATTTCTAGCACTTTGAAGGTTTTCCACATGAGTGTAGTATGGTTACAGCCTGGTACTTTTGTTAGTAAAGGTAAAGGGCCAGATTGTCAGTCCCTTAGCCACAATGTTGAGCAGTATAGTTCTACGGAAGTCAATATTAAGGGGCTCACAATCTGGCTCTAAGTAAACAACATCAAATATGCATCTGAATCAGAGGATATTTACTTAGAGAGACTTGACTTTCTAGCATATTGGGAGACTGAACCGTTGCAACCAAATTAAGAGGTATTTTTTCATCATCTTGATCAGTGAACATTTTCATACAAGGCTTCTATTAATAGTAATTAAATATTAACCGCATTAATAAATCCTTGTGAGTCAAACAGAGAATATACCCCTATTTTTCTTAAATGAACTTTTAGGGCAAAGATCTATATTATCTTTTCTTATTTAATTATGAAATGTTCAGTGTCACATAAGCCAATAACCCAACACATCTGAATTAGTTTGAAAAAATGTTTTATAGTGCAAAGATTTAGTTTCACCAGCTGGCAAAATGAGCTGCTAACTACAGGTATAGCCACATTTGGGAGTGTCTCAATTATTCCCATGAACACAAAAATGTTGCCAGCCAATTATGTGTGTCTTCCCTAGACTGAAACTCTCCCCTCTCTTCTCTTATCCCTCCCAGCCTTTACCCCTTAGCCTGCCCTGTCACTACATCGCACCTCACCCTTCTGATTCTTCCCTTCTCTTTTGTACTGCCTGGGTGCCAGCAAGGGGAGAACTGAGAGCACAGAAGAGACGATCTTCCAGCTCTCAAGCTCTGCATCACAGTGGTTCCCAGTGACTGGGAAAAGCAATTGCAGGAAGAATCCTGGTCAGCCCCTGTATCCCTGGGCCAGAGTACATTCCGTGCAGATATAATCTGAGAATTTAGGGGCCAGCCTCCAACGAAACTCTACTGAGCATATACACACAGTGATTTACAGAGACTTATACATTTGGCTAAATTTAGGTGGATTTTCACAGGGACAGCAAAAGGCACCTTTCTGAATCCAGGGTGACCTCTACCCTGCTCCAAAGTTTGGGCATGCTAGTTTCTCATTGAAACAGTTATAAGAACATTTTAACATTAGAAAAAATATTTTTCACTAGTTTTGTTCTCAGAAATAGTTGATCCATTTTTCTGAAATTTTATCCCTACCCCCACAAAAAAAATTGACCTGAGGTAGACACCCAGCATAGAATATTTTAGCTCAAAGAGTTTAAATTTGGCAAAGTTCTAACGAACTGAAAACAGGGTCTTATAATGGAAAATTTTAGGTAAATTTAAGAATAGCCTTTGCTGACAGTTCCACCTACAATTCATACGTACATATACATACACATTTCCATCCCCTCCTGAACTGTGCATCTTTTAATTTTGAAACTGTTCACATTAAAAACATGAAGCATTTTCTTACCTTTTCAGATAGCAAGAGAGCTATATTATGCTGTTGTCTGTTCTGAAAGCATTCATAAAGTTGGAGCAACCTAGCAGCCAACACATGTTCTTGGCTGAAAAGAGGATGGTGGCTGAACAATAAACTTGATATATTGAGATCTAGCTGATAAAGTTCTCTTTGACCCCCTGATTTAGTTATGATGCAGCTTTCCAATTCAGGTTGCATTGCCTGTTTTAAAATAAAATAAAATAATGTCTTTATTTCACATATCTTTATAAATACCACGTTGAAAGGCAGTGTTACTTACCAGTAACTGTATCTGTAAGAGTTTTCTTCTTTCAAAATCCAAAACTCTCGTTTCAAAATACAGAGTGATTTCAGTCTGTGGTACTCAACAAAATGGTAGTAACCTTAAACTCCAGTACTTTCTGACTAAAGCTAGCCTCAGACAAATAACAGATTCCCCCTTATACAGACAATAAATGTGAAAGGAGACAATCATGTACTGATGTAATAATAGAATTTGCACTAATATGACACTATCCCTCAAGTATCAAAGCACTTTATAAAAAATGGGTAAGCAATTCACTGATCCCATTTTTTTAAAAAAGGTGGAGCCACAGGGCAGTTAAGTGACTTGTTCAAGATCACATAGTAAGTCAGTGACAGAGCCAGGAATAAAACTTAGTTCTATGTTCTGTATCCATGATAATATGCTAAAACCAATTATCCTAAAATTAAGCACCTTATAATCTGCCAACTGTGCTATTTGAGCCAGATGATTTACAAGCCCTGAATATACTTATAGGCAGTGCCTCAGCCGAAGAAGCAGGAAATTCCATAGTGCTATTCACTTCACCTACAAAAAGCCCAACTAATTGGACTTTATGCCAGTGAAGTACACAGAGGTTATGGGGCAAAATTTAAATCTCCTTTGTACCAGCAGGTCAGGCTACACTGCAGCAACTCTACAGCTATCAGTCTAGTTTATGAGTTGGAATAACTCCTGCCCCTCTCCTTGCAGTAACTGAGTGGTATATTAGGACCACTGGATCTGCATAATTGTAGTCAGTAGCCCACAACATGGGCCATGCCCAGCACCACCTTCTATGCCATCCTTTTTGGGCTGTTGAAGAGCCCACTCCCAATCCCCCACTCAAAGATGTTCAAAGATTTCCCTGAATGGCTGCTCTACTCGATAACCTGCTCCACCCACCACTCAAGGTATAACAGATAGCAAGATCTACAGTCCCAAAGAGGAACACAGAACTTTTTGTTAGCAAGTATCAGAACCATGCTTAAAGCATCTAAGTAAATTCTACTGACTCATTGTGGCGAGATATGAAGTGGGCATGACCATGTGGTCAGAAAGAATGAGCGGCAAAGATAGGGATGTCTTGCAAGGAACTCTAGAAACAGTCAGGCTTGAGGAGAAAGCTTAAAATGAGGTTTATGTTCTGTTATTTGTTACCAAAAAGCCAAATCCAAGAAAAAGGGTAAATCTGACCTAATACAAAGTATTTACACTTTATCTGATGCTGGATGGGAATGCCACAGGCTCAAAGAGGCCAAATGTGTGCCTTAACTAGAGTGGCAGGTCGGTTTTGTATGCTTGGATTAAATTACTCTTAAAAGAATTGGATTTATAAATATTCAAGAAAAAATGGAAGATATTAAAATACATTAATTTCAGACTAAACTATATACTCTTATGGGTTGCATTAAACCTCACTGAAATTGGTTAGTGTAACAACCACCTTTCATTCAGGTTAAGTATAAAAAACAATTGAGCTACTTTATGCAACCAGATAGCTGAAACAATAGAAGGATCACCCAAAATATGGATACATAACAAGGCTTGAGTAACCATGTGGCCCAAGAGGTTTCCCTGGCCACTGATAAAGCAAATGCAAGGGCTAAGGCATTAACTGGTGGAACTGTATATGCCTGTGTGTGAGAGAGAAGCAGCAGCAGCAACACCGGAGAAGCTGAGAAAGAAGGCAGCTGAAAGCTGAGGACATTGCCACACAAGAACTGGTCGTGTGTGAGCTCGAGGAAAAGCTGAGAGAGCACTTTCAGGCTATGTGTTAGCTGGAAAGGGGCTTGGAAGAGTGAGCAAAGAAACTACTCCTGCCTCCTGCTGCTTGATTCCATCTGTGTTCAAGGAAACAGGTCTTTATGTACATATTTGGTAAATAAATAGGATTGCATCGAAGAAATACCTCACTCTATCATCAACTTCTCCTCTTAATGGAAACAACCCGCTACAACCAGATTTTGGCTACCTGCTCAGGTCAAAAGGTAACAATGCTGTAGAATCCTCAGTGCACAGACTTTTCTGATTTTTTTAATTAAGTGATGAACAGTCTGTGCAATATCAAATGGTTCCATCTAAACAATATTATCACCCCTTCCCGACCCATTCTTGGGACTGACACTCCACGAAAGGTACTTTGAATACTGCCTAATGAAATATTTTGCCATGAAAAAAATACAAGCTATTAATTTTTGTTACATTGTCTAGATAAAGTCCCCTGAATAACTATAGCTGTAAAAAGTAGTAATAGCTGACCTTCTTGTATATTGTCTTTAATCCTGGACCGGTCTTAAGAGGAAAACTTTTTCTGAAGTTTCGTGATTGTTTGATTGGAGAAGGTAATGAAATTATTTCCCCACTTTCTTCAAACCAGTTTTTGCCCTTGTTAGAAATATTTCAGAAGTTCAATATATGTATGACATGTTAAAAAATTCTATACATTTCATTTACTGATTTTATTTTACATTTTACTTACAACATTTTTAGCTTTTAATAGAATATATTTACCCCTTCTTGCTTCAGAAGTCGATTTTCCATTTTGTTATAACTTCTCCTACAAATTTCTGGTTTTCTTGGAATATACAATCCTTCATCTTCTAGGATGCGTGGCATCATGCCTTTTGGTAGTTTAAAGCTGTGAACCACTTGAGAACAACAATTACTGCATGTAAATTTTCAGCTAAAAGTGATGCAAATAAAATGTAAAACTAAAATTAAAAAAAAACAAGTATTTGTACTGGTCTAATTTTTTTACTTGCAAGCATAAAGCGAAAGAGTGATCAAAAGGATTGTTCTTGATGCTACTGTAAGTAATATTCCATAACTATTTCTAACACAAGAACATAAGTCATATAAGTAATTCTGATAAAATCAGACTGTTCCCAATCCTGTCAGCTTTCTTACTGCTGGAAAAGGCGGCTACCAAGGAGTCAGCTGGCACAGTGACTGAACTACCCTCTCAACCTAAGGGGTGACTCCTCCAGGTGAGGGTTAAGAAAGATTTGGCAGTGCGGTGTGAGGAAGTGTACTGCTGTTGTTACCTGTGCTGAACCACATCTATGAATTAATATTACTACTATACTTTGCATTTTGTATAGCACATTACATCTGAGCATATAAAAAATACATAAGGATGAGCATTATTATCCTTATTTTACAGATGAGGAAACTGAGGCACAGACAAGTTTAGTGACTAGCCCAAGGCCACAAAGGTTCTGAACTGATGTCAGTGGAAGTTTTTCTATTGATGTTGATAGGCTTTGGATGATGAGTTGGTGGCAGTATTAGGAGTAGATGCTTGGATGCTTTTGGAGGAGGAGATGGCCCATATACAGGATGATCTTTCCAGAATCAGGGTATCCCGCCAACTTAAATCTGACCTAAAATATGAGGATCTGGTTTTGAACACCTAATTTATTCCAATTATCTCCTGACATCACCTCCCAGTCTTCTAAGTGGAACAACATAAAAATACAAGAATGTAGCAACCAATGGCTCTCAAAACTGGAAACTGGAATCCGAACAACTAGAAACCTGTTACAACTGTTCCAGGTGGGAACACTTAGAGCTTTCATTGACTTACATTAAAATTCCCTTATTTCCTCTGTACTGTAGTTCCCTCGTTAAATCAGCTGCAAGATGACCATAACCCTATTCTTGACAGAGCATACACCTCACAGTTCCTCACTATGTCCACGACAACTCTCCTCCTCTAACAAGTAAAGATTAATTGGTTATCTAGGCCCTCATTGAGATCAGATGATTTATTAAAAGAAACCTTTATCATCAAAAAGAACGAGGAGTACTTGTGGCACCTTAGAGACTAATGAATTTATTTGAGCATAAGCTTTCGTGGGCATGCATCCGATGAAGTGGGTTTTAGCCCACGAAAGCTTATGCTCAAATAAATTCGTTAGTCTCTAAGGTGCCACAAGTACTCCTCATTCTTTTTGCTGATACAGACTAACACACTCTAAAATCTTTATCATCATCTGGCTCTGTGTATTATTCTTAGATTCTATACAATCTTGGAAATATCAGTACGCCGTCTCCCTCTGGAGTTAATGGAAGCTTTGTTATTGACTTCATAGGGAGCAAGGTTAGGCTCCTTAATTTTATTGTACTCTATACTTCCAATAAAAATATTTTTAAAAAAAATCAAATTAAGATTTCCCCCCTACATTTCTTTTAACAGCCCTAAAAAAAATCCCTCAAAGTAAAAAAAAAATTCTCATTATTAAATATATATAGTTTAGATTAGTAAATTTAGTAATTTAGATTAGTATTGTATAATTTGTAACATTTTGGGGACTGGTTTTTAACTCTTATTTGTCTTTAAAATACTACACATTTGGTACCGTATAAATAATAATTACTTTTTTTTCTGGCAAGAATACTGATTTAACGGTTTAGCTGATCACTACAATTTCCTAAAATTCTCCCCATCTTCTTCTAGTCCATTTTGTCAACTGCTATGGTGGCAATTTCTGTCCAGCCATGAGATATGTACTGAAGCTGCAGTTAAGTTAAGGCAATAGATAAGTTGGTATGGGTTAATGTAGATAAAAAGATATGTGGCTAGTGGCAGATGGTTAAGATGATGATATGAGCTGAGAGATAAGATGGTAGATGGTTGCAATTAAGGATCTGAATCACATACCCTCCTTTATTTGCACAATTTATGAAATAATTACACATTTTTGTCATGTAATTTTCGCTTTTTGTAAAATTGAGCTTAGTTCAAATGCCAGAGCTACTAGACTAGAGCACAGAAACAGATCTATCTGCATTTATATCTGCAGACTGGATTCAATATTGGCTCTGAAAGTTTACTTTATTCTTTATCTTCACTTAATTCACCCTGAGAACTGCACATGCCATAATGCTAACAACACTAATGCCATTCATCATACACTTAATAATTTTCCTAATTTTATATGAAAGGCACAATACCTGGAGAACTGCTTGGCACAAAAAGATGTTCCCATTGCTTGTTAATCTGCAGTTCATTGCATTCATATTCAGCAGCTTTCACTTCAAGCACATCTGGCAATAAAACTTCTTCCACACTGTCAAGCAGAGGACTACTTTCATCATTCAAGACATCAAGATCTCGATGACTGTCATGTATTAATTTCTGCTGTTCATCAAGAAAATCAATTCCATATACACACAAATTAACAGAATGATGTGATATATATGATAAATATCCACATTAGCATAAAAGGATTGCTCGATAAATTAATCTAAATGGACACAGTAATCCTCAGGAAAAGCAAATTTTCTGTTTTGTTTCCCTTGCCTATCTATATTATTTCTATAATGCGTATCACTATAGTATCTAAGTGCTGAACAATGAAATAGCCTTCAAACCTAGTTGTACCTTCCATGATAGAAGAGACAGAAAATCCCTGAACTTTGAGTGACATAACTCAGAGTAACCCATCATCCAGAATTCTTTTTTTTTTTTCTTATCTCCAACAAAACAAAAAATTTTTCAAAAAAAGTTTAAAAAAAAAAAAAAAGCTGGCTCTCTGATTAGGAGAAAATGAGCCTCCTTCATATCCTAGAGAAACCAGAATAAAATAAAGACCTGTAATACTTGAAAGTTTATATATTTTACTATTTTGTGTGACATTTTTTATATTTCTGAAAGGAAACAGATTTAAACTAATGTATGACCATTTTATTCTGAAAAACAAACAACATTTATTATTTAACTACAGTAGCACCTACTGTGCAGTAGGTCTTTCCAAACATTCATGAAACACATTCTGTGTTCTAAGAAGCTCACAGTCTAAGGAATCTAAGTTCAATGGGGCTATTCTCATTTCTAATTTAACCACGAGTGACAGTTTGGGGAATCTATGTACAGCTTATGAATTCTGTTTGAAATTGGTAACTTTCTATATGTATGTATGTCAGACTGCAAACTGCACTTTTTTGGAGGGGGGGGGGGGCTCATCTGCTTTCTCTGCTGTCTTTGCTGGACTGAAATTCCAAGAAGTAGTGACATAGGGCCAACAATGGAGGGTCGTTACACTTTTATGGTCCTTTATATATATGTATACCCCTTGGACAAGGAGCTGGCTACCACCCTGGACAAACCAGTTTTTCAAGTTTGAATTTGGTATGAGGGTAGAGGGAGATAACTAAGCAATGGATCACTGGTGGGAGACTGAATACCTGATGAGACTGATCAGCATGCTACAAAGGAGGTTATAAAAGAAAGGGTCTCTCACCAGCCATTTTGGAGAAAGAGGGGAAAAAGACCAGAAGTAGGCTGCGGGAATGAGAGGGACTCCATGTTCTGAAAGAGAAGCCATGAGCAAGAGGGAAGGAGGAGAGGAAGGATGGATGGATCCTAGACTCCTTAAAAAACTCTGACCTGACCCCAAAGAATGCTCAAATGTGGTGAGGAAACTGAAGCAGAGAAATGTGTACAGGATTTTTATTATTCTATCCAGATCCCTCCATTTCTTGTGCTATCTAAAGTAAAGAGTAATTTTGTTAGAAACCTTTGCAAAGCCTGGTGGTTATGTGCTTAAACTATCACATATCCATGGAGAGGTAAATGTACCCACAAAGTACCCACAAGGTTGGAGCTCTGCTTAAGCAACTGGTGTCTTGGAGGAGTCAGCACTGGTCCTTGAGGCTTACAGCAGCTGAACCATGAGGTCCCACTTCCATGAAGGTGTAACAAAGTCTTTTCCCATAAGTGTGCCAAAGAGGCTAAAGAAAGATACAGTGCTGGAGTCTACTCAAACCCAGGGAAGCTTAAAGCACATGGGTCTAGCACAGGGGTGGGCAAACTTTTTGGGCCGAGGGCCACATCTGGGTGGGGAAATTGTATGCAGAGCCGGGGCAGGGGGTTGGGGTGCAGGCAGGGGACTTAGGGCAGGGAGTTGGGGGGCAGGGTGCAGGAGGGGTTAGGGCTCCGGCACGGCACCGCTTACCTAAAGCGGCTCTGGGGTGGCAGCAGCGCGCACCAGGGCCAAGGCAGGCTCCATGCATGCCTGCCCTGTCCCCGGCTCCACATCGCTCCAGGAAGCACTGCGGCCCCTGGGGAAGGGGGGGCGGAGGGCTCCGCATGCGCTGCCCTTGCCGCGCCTCCAGAACCTCCAGCGGTTCCCGGCAAATGGGAACTGTGGGAGGCGGTGCCTGGAGGGAAGAGCAACACACGGAGTCCTCTGCTCCCCCGCCTGGGGGCTGCAGGGAAGTGGTACCAGCCGCTTCTGCAGAGCGGCGCGGGGCCCGCGGAGCCGCGGGGGGCAATCCCGCAGGCCGGATCCAAAGCCCTGAGGGGCTGGATTTGGCCCGTGGGCCATAGTTTGCCCACCCTGGTCTAGCATTTGGAGATTCAAATGCAGCAGTCTGGTGAATGTCTAACATGGGAAGCTTCACCAGGGCTGTGGCAACATAAAAAGTATTTGCAGTATTGGGGCCTTAGTTTATTTTAAACTCTACACACTACACACACAAAAGATATTGAGCTCTAGTTGTAGAAAAAGATAGACTACTGATGGATTTATCTTAATATTATTTTGTTCTGCCTTACCAATAGTTTATTATGATGTCACTTTAAACCTCCAATGTTTTTATAATCCTATGATGCATAGTTGTTTATCCTTTATACAATCAAATGTTGCATATTATTTAATAATACCAGTGATGTGCATTATAATTTATACAAAAAGTAAGACAAGGTCCCTATCTTGATAAGCTTATAACCAAGTGTTGAAGAGTAAAGACATGATCAACAATGTTTTAGGAGAATTAATGAAACAAAACAAGAGAGGACACAGTTCTCGGAAGGGCATTTTGATTGTGTTTTATTTTATAGGCATAAATTATGGGTAGCAAATATTTGAGTTGTAAAGTTAACCTTTTTTTTCTTTTATATAAATAACTCTTTTGTGCTCAGGAGCAAGACTGGCAATAGAAACACTTTAACAGCGATCAATGATTGAAAGCCAGCTAACTGAAACAAGTTTTGAGGCGGGATTCATAGGAGAGGAAGTTTTTTGGGGAGACATGAAAGGAGGCACAGAATTACCTGGGGAAAGAGAAAATGTGCCTAGATACTACAGTGATGGGTGCTTTACAATAGTTGATAGATGCTTGAAGGAGAGTGGCATTAGTTAAATTAAGAATACACAAGGACAATTAGATAAATATGAGCTTTTTTAAAGGAATTTAGATGACTTTCATGAAGAAAAAAATACTATACCTGGTATGTATTTTTGTCCAAATCTTTTAATTCTGAGCCTTCTTCACCAGTCATAATAAAAAATGTAAAGCCGTCATCTGATAAGATTTCTGTCTAAGGATGAAAAACAAACAAACAAACCCCAAGCAAAAACACTAATCTTCAGCAATCATTATTATTATGTAGCTATGTAAAAATCTTGTATATAACCAGAAAAAAAAATCTTTTTCAGATTTAGGAGTCTAAAATTGTTTTGATTTTCAGTAACTTATCAGAGATGGCCACAAGAAGAAGTTACTTACCTTGTGCAGTAATGATGGTTCTTTGAGATGTGTGTCCCTATGGGTGCTTCATTCTAGGTATATCTGCGTTGCTGCACTGCTGATTGGAGAACTTTTGTAGCAGTGTCCGTTCAGCTCATGCATGCACTGCCCTCTACCTCATGCTCTGCCAAAGGCAAATCCTCCTCAGTTCCTTCTCTACTGAAGAGTTATTGCCAAGAACTCTGAGGCAGAGGGGAGGTGGGTGGGTCGTGGAGCACACATAGGGACACACATCTCAAAGAACCATTGTTACTGCACAAGGTGAGTAACTTCTTCTTCTTCAAGTAGTGTACCTATGGGTGCTCCACTGTGGGTGAGTCCCAAGCAGGACCTCCCACTGAAGAATGGGGCTTCAGAGTCGAGTCTGTCATGGATGATAGAACTGTGGTGCCGACTCAGGCATCTGCAGGAGAGTCCCCCAATATGGCATAAGTGTGTGCAGATGCTCAGGTAGCTGCTTTGCAGATTTCTGATATAGGGATACCCTGGGCAAAGGCAACAGACAAGAGACTGATCTCATAGAGTGTACTCTGGATGGGGGTGCTAAATTGTGAATCTGGTAACAGAGTTTGATATAGTTCAAGATCCATTTGGAGAGTCTTTGAGCTGAAATCGCTGGGCCTTTCAACCTATCCGCAATGGAAGAGTCTTGGAGATTTTCTAAAAACTCTTCTCCTGCCAAATAGGCTAAGGCTCGCCTAACGTCGAGCATATGGAGCATGGTTTCCCTATCCTCCTGATGAGGCTTGGGAGAAAAGGTTGGAAGGTGAATCAGTTGGTTCACGTGAAATGCAGAGGTCACCTTGGGAGTGAACTTCGGATGTGGTCTAAGTGTGACTTTGTGAGGGAAGAACACTGTGAAGGAGGGATTCGCCAGAGCCGCTATCTCCCCTATCCTTCTTGCCAAGGTGATGGCGATCAGGAATGTTGAGAGACATTGATACCATTATACACACACAAACTTACCAAAAATAATTCCATCAATAATAATCAAAATTTACAGATAGACAAAGTAAGAAAAATGCTGCTTGAGAACTTACGAGTTTGATTTAAGGGTTTTTACTTTGTAAGTTTTGACATATGATATTGAAAATTTGTGTTTTAACAGTTATAAAGCTTTGACTTTTTGAATGTCAACACCTACTGTAATTAAATAATTATTGCTCACCCCCTGTTGTCTGACCCCCATAATTTCCTGCAATTGTGAAAATTTAAGTCAATAAAAATGGGGCAAATGCTTAAAAATAAACGCTATTATCTATCAAATTTATAAAAAATAAAATAAAATAAAATTCTGCCAAGTCTGGCCATTATGCACAACATTCTGCGCCTCTCTTGTGCAGGATCAAACTTTATGAAACACAAAAAAGTCAGAAAATGCAAATGCAGCATTCAGGTTATACAGTTAAGCTCATAAAAATTCAACAGTTAACATTTCAACAGTAAGGTTAATTTGGCTGCAATGGATATCTGGAATATTTATATATATACATTCAATAACAAACAGCAATATATTAACCAACAAATTAGTAACAAAATGTGAGTAGATGCATGTCATGCAACATAGTTAAAGATACTATTGGAAATTTAACTCATGCATTTTTTGCACTGAACTGAATATAATGTATATAGCTTACTTATTTTGTTTACTATTTGCAATATTTGTAAAATTTATTACCTCAGTCCTCACTTCAAGGTTTTTCTGGTATATTTTAGTATCAGAGAGGCTTTTGTCTGTGGACTTTTCTTGTACAACCTAAAACAAGAGGTATAGTATTATACTTATTTTCTACAGAAACAACCGACACAACCATTGTTCTGAAAAGCATGCAGAAAGTCAAAAACTTAATTCACTTACAACTTTTACAGATCTTATACTTGACTTTTGGAGGTGTTCCAAACAGTGTGGCACAGCAGAAAAGTTTTCTAAATTGACTGAACTTTCAGCCTTTCACACACACACAAAAAAGGTAGCTTGTTGCATGTTTCACTTGAACAATAAATTACAAGTACAAGAAAAATAAGTTACCTTGTATGTTTTCAGTTTCTCTCTTACTCTACCTCGTAATGCTTCAGTTACACTCCTTCGTTTTTCTACATCAGCCACATCTAGTGTAAAGCCAGCATAGCACAACATTTTTAACACACCTTCTTGTGATACTAAATGCTATTTTTTTAAGTATATTCTTCTGCAGTGCATAGCCCTTTTACTATTAATTATTTATAGTGAATAGAATGGTCTTCTTATGAAAAGTATTAGATAGAAATACAAACTAAAATAGTGTTCATCAGGTAGTTTTATAGATGTAAACAGAATCACCAAGATACAACTAGAATCTTGTAACATGTACAATTTGTAGGAATATATTTTTTTTTTTTTAAATCCTGGGTGTCTGAAAAACACAGATGTCCAGGATCCAATTTTCAAACTGGCTTCTAAAGTTACATACAAAAAATTTCAGAAAGGAGAACCCTGACTACTAGCTACCATATTAATGCATACTCATGCTGATTCGAGGCCTAACTACAGGAACAAAAGCAAAATATGTGGCCCCTTGAGCCCAATTTGAAAATTTGATGTCTGTTAACTTTACCATTTTATACTGAATATACAAACAAACATTCATCCAAACCTCCCTTATCTTTCCCCCACGCATTCAAATAAGAAGGATCAAATAATTTAAACTCAGCAGCTGCTTCCTGGCTTAGCTGCCTCCCATGCTCAGTGCATGGATTTGCACTGACTGCTGTGAACAAGGCCACTCTTTCTCTCTCTGGGCTCCATGAAAACCAGCCTGCTCAGCAGGACTTCAGTATATAATTTTTTATTATCACAATTCCAATCATCACATTCATGGAAACATGATCTAGGGGAGAAGATGACAACTGAAGTGCTGGGTAGTTGGTGGAAGGTAACAGATTAAGGGGCAAACGGAGGAGGAAAACATCCTACCTTTATTAAAGTGAATACTTCCCTAATGTGAAGTATTCTCTCAGAAGTGGCCAAGTACTGATCTAAGATTACTGTAAATCAGAAGTAACTCCACCTGTTTTCATGGTTAACTCATGCTTTATAGTGGACTAACCAACTTCAGAATCTGGACCATAGCGCATACCTCTAGATTTAAAATCTGGAGCCATGTATGCATAGCATACCATTTTCAAATAGGCAATACTTCGATATAGCAAAACTAACCTTTGTCAAACCTAACAAAGGCCCTACTCCTCCGAGAGGTGACAATTATTTACATAGTTTTAAGTTTTGAAATTCAGCTTTTTTGACACCGACTTGTCAAACAAAATGTGGTTAATATTGTTATGGGACAAGCGTATTTTTATCCTTGCCACATCAAACAATTAGAGAAACTGGGATCAAACTTTCTAAATAAATTCAACTTTGGAAAGAAAAGTTTCATCTTAAATGTGATTTTTTTAAAAAGTTGTATGTGAACACAAAAGGGTTAATTTCTAATAAAATATAATTGTTTTAATAATTTGGCCTAGAGTCTGAGACAGACTCTCAGATTTATTTTATTAATCAAAATAAATATGTAATAAAAGTAAATAATTGAAACCATTTTGTAGCATTCACTATTTGAATGCTATGCTAATTTTAAAAATGTAGCCCCACCTTAATTTTGAATTAAATTTAAGTCAGTTGTGGAGGGGAGGTTGTATCTCTTATTATGAAAATATTTGCAATGTATTTCACATTTTGTTAAAAATCTCACTCATAAGAATGGCCATACTGGGTCAGACCAAAGGTCCTTCTAGCCCAGTATCCTGTCTTCCAACAGTGGCCAATGCCAGGTGCCCCAGAGGGAATGAACAGAACAGGTAATCATCAAGTGATCAAACATCAAACTCAACATTTTGCAATCACCTTCATTAATTGTTAGTTTGACAACCCTGAAAATATAGAAAAGTATGTATTCACAAAGGGCCCAATTGTTATACCCTTGCTCATGGTGAATAATACCTTCCAGGGGTTCTCAAATTTCATTGCACTTGCAACACCCTTCTAACAACAAAATTACTACATGGAGGTGGAGCCCAAGCCCCGCTGCTCCGGGTGGGAGGAGAGGAGCCCGGAGCCTTAGCCCCACTGCCCCAGGTGAAAGTGGAGCTTCAGCTTCAATTCTGGATCCCAGCAAGACTAATGCTGGCCCTGGCAACCCCATTAAAATTGGGTCGTGACCAATGTACACTCTAATTTTTCCCACGGATGAACGGAATGAATTGGAGGTGATACATAACAAAATTCAACGAGGAGTCCTTGTGGCACTTTAGAGACTAACAAATTTATTTGGGCATAAGCTTTTGTGGGCTAAAACCCACTTCATCAGATGCATGGAGTGAAAAATACAGTAGAGAGGTATAAATACACCGCATATGAAAAGATGGGAGTTGCCTTACCAAGTGGGGGTCAGTGCTAATGAGCCAATTCAATTTAAGTTGGAAGTAGGCAATTCTCAACAGTTGACAAGAAGGAGCGCAAATCACTTTTGTAGTGTTAATGAGGCCAATGTAAACAAGTTGGCCCATTTGAAACAGTTGACAAGGTATGAGTATTTAGCAAGGGGAAATTCATTTTTGTAAAAAACAACGAGGAGTACTTGTGGCACCTTAGAGACTAACTCATCTACTCCCAGTGTCTATTCAGGCCTAATTTGATGGTGTCCAGTTTGCAAATTAATTCCAGTTCTGCAGTTTCTCGTTGGAGTCTGTTTTTGAAGGTTTTTTGTTGAAAAACTGCCACTTTTAAGTCTGTTATTGAGTGACCAGGGAGATTGAAGTGTTCTCCTACTGGTTTTTTGAATGTTATAATTCTTGATGTCAGATTTGTGTCCATTTATTCTTTTGCGTAGAGACTGTCCAGTTTGGCCAATGTACATGGCAGAGGGGCATTGCTGGCACATGATGGCATATATCACATTGGTAGATGTGCAGGTGAACGAGCCTCTGATGGTGTGGCTGATGTGGTTAGGTCCTATGATCGTGTCCCTTGAAATTCATGTGGCGGGGGTGGGGCTGAGAGGTTCAGAGTGTGGGAGGGTGAGGGCTCTGTAGAGGGGCTGGGGATGAGGGGTTCAGAGCTGGGCCAGAGGGTTGGGGTGCAGGGGGGTGAGGGCTCTGGCTGGGGATGCAGGCTCTGGGATGGGGCTAGGGATGAAGGACTTAGGGCTGGGCCAGAGAGTTTGGATGCAGGGGGGTGAGGGCTCTGGCTGGGGTGCAGGCTCTGGGAAGGGGCGGGAATGAGGGATTTGGGGTGCAGCAGGGCTACAGCAGGGAGCGAGAACTCCCCACCAGCTCTTTCTCCCCTCAGCAGCACTTGGGCTGGGGGGAGAGGCGCCTCTCCCCACCGCGGCAGTTCTGGGGTTGGGGCCGTGGAATAGGTGCCTCTCCCCCAGCCACGGCAGGTCCAGGGCTGGGCTGGTGCCTCTCCCCTGGCCACGGCAGGTCCAGGGCTGCGGAAGAGGCATCTCTCTGTGCTGCAGCCCTGAGTGCCTGCTCAGCGCTTAATAGACTGCTGCGCGGCCATGTGGCCAAGCACCTTAGAGGGAACTTAGGTCACAAACCACTTTGGGGTCCCAACCCACAGTTTGAGAACTGCTGCCTTACACCATGAGAAGTCCCATTGAATATGATATTATTCAATGTGAGTGTGGGTATCAATCTGGACCAATAAACGTATACTATAGTTCCAGCTCAGGCAATAAGTGCATCTTCATCAAACAATATCAATCAAGAGCAAAGACAAATATTTTTATTGAGCTACCTTCCTGGAAATTCTGATCTACAAATTCTTCTGTTTGATTCCTAATAACATGTTCGCTGTCTTCAGTCAACTATGAAAAACAAATTACCAGAGGAAAGATTTAAAGTAAAAGTTTTAAAATTAAACTGCAGATCCCACAATTAATATTTTCTAAAATTGCATATTTCATTGATTGTGTAATATTTTATAGTACTTGCTATCGGTAAGTGTCTAATACAGTGTATGACACTGCACCTCAAACTAGCACTCTGGAACCCCCATATTCACTGCTGTGATATGATTATATGTTTTGTACAATGCATGGCTTGTGGAGGTATCATTTAAGAAGTCTTGATTTTTTGAACATTAATATCCTGTTGAATTGTATGTACTATCATTGTATATGAAGTTATGAAGTAATGCTATGTATTTGTTGCTGTAATATATGGTAAAAGGGAAATGCCCACAGCTAGCCTTTCAGTGGCCACAAAGGAGTAACTAACACTGACAAGACAGATTTACATCTAGATTGGCCAGACAGGTGTTGATGTTTCATCAAGCATCCACTCTCCCAGAGACTCCCCAGAGAGGGCACGTATACAATGGGGGCTACCTGACCCCCACCTCACAGCAAAGATCTTTCTAGGATGTGGAAAGAAACTATAAATGAGGGTTGATGACATCATCACTGGGCCTTTCTCCTCCCCAATCTCAACACCTAGAAGATCGTTTAGAAGACAACGAACTGTGGAGACTTGCCCCAGGATGAGAAGGGACGTCAGCCTGTGTATTAAGAACTGTAAAATGCATGGAACATCCAGTGTTAGTCTGTTAAAGTTAGAATTTAGGCCGCGATTCTATTTTTATTTCTTATGCAACCAACTATGTACTCTGTGCCTAACACTTATAATCACTTAACATCTATCTTTCTGTAGTTACTAAACTTATTTTAATGTTTTGTCCTTACCAGTGAGTTTGTCTAAAGTGCTTGGGGAATCTGCTCAGATTACAAAGACTGGTGCATATTCACTTTCCTTTGACAAAGTGGTAAACTAATTAATGAGCTTGCACTGTTCAAGTAGTCTTGGACAGTGTAAGACGGTATATTTCTGGGATGCAAGGCTGAGGGCTATGGTGATTGGCTGGAGTTTCCCTGTGTATAATTCATGAGTGCCTTAGAAAGCATTCATGCAACTCAGTAACTCCACATGTTGATGGAGTGATCACAGCACCTGGACGGGTTGGCTGCTTGTCACTAGGATAGCATTGTGAGAGACAGCTCAGGAAGGAGAGTTTAAGGGGACTCAGAAGTCCCACAGTTCCAGGTTGTGCTCCGGGAGTATGCCACAAAGTGGTTTTGAACCTGTGGTCCATGGACCCCTGGGGGTCAGCAGAATATATCTAAGGGGTCTGCAAAAGGTTGTTGTTAGCATAGAACAGTGGTTTTCAACCTGTGATCTGCGGATCCCTGGCGGTCTGCAGAGTATGTCTAAGATTTCCAAAAAGGTCCGCCATTTGAATTTGAATTTTTGTAGGGGTCCGCAAATGAAAAAAGGTTGAAAACTACTGGTCTAATAGATTAAATATTTAATTTCACAAATACAATGTATCTGTCCTGAAAGGATACAGTAAATTAAAAAGATATTGGGCCAAATTCTGCTCTTACTTACACTGCTAAAAATCCATTATAATACTACTGACAGAGTAAAATTTAGCACAAGAAATACTGGAGCTAAATCTGATTAGTTTTGTAATTAGTTTTTATCAAACTATATTTAAACATACTTTACCGTTAGTAGATTTCTTTTGATTTTTATGAAGTACTTAAACAATTAAAATAATTTTTTTTAAATCAGCTGTTATTAGAGCCTCCACAAATGTTGCCAGCCTGCATCCCTTCCTTTTGTACGTTCATCAGGTAGTGCATGCCATTGTAACCATGAAGTTAAGCATTGCAATGGACATTATATTGAGCAACTTCACCTAAATAACTGACACGCTGTCTAAAGCTGATGCAGGAGGGCAGTCATTTGGGGTATGCAAGAGAATGTACTGTCTCCATTGGGTGCTTATTGGTATGCACATTGAATTCAAGGTTTTGGTTTTAACATTTAAAGCTCTTAACAGGATGGGTACCAGCTACCTTTCCAACATTCTAACAAATACTATTCCATTTCCCTCCTCTAAAGTTTGATGACGTAAGTCTACTTGTGTGGAGGGCCTGGAGTGGGCTAATGCAAAATGCAGCAGTCCTCTGGCTTGGTTAGAATCAGTGTCCTCTCAGAAGTTAAGAGGAAAGAACCTCTCAGTGTTTTTTTCCCTATATATAAAATGGTGATAGAATTTACTAACCTTTGTAAAGTAAGAAATGCTGCCAAAGCACCAAATATTATTATTAGTGCAGTGGGACCTAATTAGCACATTGCATTTGTACTCTGTGTCCCGAACTACCTTTCTATCTGCTTCCGAATGTAATTTAGGGATTTAATCTATAAAGCCCTATATATTTTGCACCTGGCTACTTTGGGACTGACTCTCCCCATGCAACAGCAAGTTGGTTAATTTTAACTGAGTTGGTTTTGTTGACAGTCCATAGCTGTGCACTCTTGAGGACTAGAGGCAGAATAATTCTTGGTGCAGAGTTCCTGACTATAGAATATGCTCCCTCTGGTGGTTTGTCAAAGCCCCACTTAAACTGTTAGAGAATGGTGCAAAATCCATCTTTTGAGTTAAGCCTTTCCAAATAGTTCTATACTAAAGCACCATCTTTGCTGCTGCTACTTTAAAGTTGCATTTATAAACTGATGATTGTGCTAATCTTTAATGGTTCCAGATTTCATAATAATAGACATACTATAAATCAGTAAAATCATGAATACATTCATGTGTCAAAATTTAAACTTCTAAATTTATAGAAATAACACTGAAATACAGGAAAGGAAAAAGGTTAATAACCAATAAGCTGCTGTAAAAGAATACCATATTCATATCAACCTCTTTTTTTCCAATGTTAAAAGCAGGCAGGAATGTTAGACAGTATCACACTGTACCATAAATAAAAGATAACACAGCTGTTCCTCTGACGGCTGCTTTCAACTTGTTCTTGTTCCAAATGTTCTCCAGTTGCCTATTAAACTTCATGGGTTTAACAGCATGT